AAAGTATTTAAAATATAACAAAATAAAAAATGCCTTTGAGTACAAAGTAGCATAACCAAATAAGAAATACTACATCATTGGAATAAAGGGTGCCAGATGTTTCCGTGAAAAGAAGCCCTCTAAATGTTCGCCACTGTTGTGTAATCGTATTCACATTTACAAAACATGGGGTCTTGGCTTTGAGAATATGTCTGTGGGTGGTCAACGGGTAACGCGAACCGTTAGACGACCACCGTCACTAAGGCGATCACCAAATGCAATGTCCCAAGCAGCCAAACAGCGTTTAGGTACGCACTGCAAAACAACAACAAGCAATACCATTTGTGTATCACCATGGAACTCCATAAAATTGTAACGATTACTTTGGAAGTCCTACAAAGAGAGAAGCACGAAAAGACTATGCACCAGCTACCCTAATTTGATGAGAACGTATTCACTTCGGAATGTCTCTACTGGTCAAATTTCATATTACTCCTCACAGAAAGTGATTTGAGATTTATACTGCAATCTGAGGAAACAGCATTGCACGTTCGTTGATATGGGCTTTCATGCGTTCATCATTTGTTCTTGAAGATGAAAACCGCATATCTCAATATGGTTCGAGCGGTAGGCACGAAAAGCACCAGAAAGCAGCAGTCTATTTTCCAACCAGGAAAATTTGTTTCTTCGTAGGCTTTTGCAAATCCAAACTGCAAGATTGTTTCAATAATCCATTGAAGGTCTAGCTTTTTACATATTTCCGCCGCGAAATGGTGCATAAAATTACGCAGCATGTTGCAAATAACCAATTCTGATGGGTGGTAGTCTCTTATATCGCTTCAAATTCACCCGGATATATATCACTCCCGCAAAGTCGATCCCCTTTGATTTCACCCTCAAATTTTAATTAAATAGTCGACCGAAAAGAGGAGGTTCCACGACCGTCAAAAGTTGTAATCAACTGTAGTCACAAGTGCAGAACACGTTCCAATTTCGCAATCAGACTTCTGTTTATTCTAAATAGTCTTGATGTCGTAATTAGCCTCAAAATGATGAGTTCCACCAGTTAGCTAATGTCTGTTTACCTATCGCACTATTCAACAAGAACAGAGATCTGTTTTCCACAATGTTCGTTAACTTTCGTGCCCCGCGTTTCCAAACCTCAGGTTCCGAGAGAAACTGGCTTGATTGGTCAGTATGGTCACCTTGTGATTTGAAGACGGGTGTTCAGACACGCGAGCGTCGATGCCGTCCAAATGCCATATGTGTTGGAAGCAGTCGAGAACAACGATTCTGTTCTGAGATATCAGTCTGGTCTAATTCATTTCAGGATAACAAAATGTCAGGTGAGCTTAAATTCATGTAAAGCCTGTGAGAGTGTGCGTATGGATGCACGCAGTCCGCAACTGTAGGACGGTAGATTCGGTCAGCTATGATGTAGAAACGCCTCCAAAAACTTCATGTTAATCGGTATCCTGAATCCGACCTGTTTAAAGGAGAGAGAGGGTCACTCTTTGGCAAGAGGCTCTGAAAATCACAAAAGCCCGTAATATATCATGATTTGTTATAACCAGGAAGGATATTTTTACCAGGAGACACCTGGTTTGTACGTCACTTTATTCAATTTACTTTCTAGTATCTTTTTATAGAATAGAACGATCCGTATCTGAATGATCTTTCATTTGAAATTCCACACTACCGTTTTGACTGTTCGTTTTAGGGGTGACGCCAGGCATTAGTGACAGAAAAAAGTCTTAAACTAAACACGATTTTGATGGAACAAGGGCTAGATTTATCACTATCGTACGCTAAATCAGATAGCTCAGCAGCACCACCTATGCCACCAACCATCAGTAAATGTAATCTTCGAATTTAAAGAAGCCCTACTTCGCCAATTTTATTTAAGCATCGAGAACAAATTTTGCGATTTTGAATTTTCTTCCGAGAGCAAGCCTTGATATGGCCACTGGAAATAGACAGTCAAACCTTTCTTGTTAGGATATCACGTGACTATTCATGTGACCCTTTGGAAGCACTGTAGGTTGTTACACGTAAGCGACTCACATAGGGTCATTTCGTTTGGCGGTTTGTCCTAAGTTTTAGGGTTCTCAGTGTATTATTCAGAGATATCACAAATATATCTAGCTAACTGCTTGTTGAATGCGTGCAACAGTAGGTCTTGAACGTTTGCCTGAGTACGGAATGCCCCTTGACAGTAAGTCACAGGCCTTTTCTGCGCCTTCCCAGCTTTACTTGCTTCCTCATTGTTGTGCAGCCGCTAGGCGTCTTTATGTCATTCAGGTGCTGCTACTCCGATAGAGGACGAGGGGTTCAAGCGATCAACCGGAACATATGATGGACATGCTTTGGTAATTCTTAGGCTTCATACTTGGACAGCACGAAATTTTTCAAGTAAAAAGGTCTCAGAGAGTCTCCAGAGAAACAGCTGCAGAAAGTGACTTCTCAGGTACATTTTTTAAATCCACAGAAATGAAGAACCTGCTTTCACGTGCAATTCAACGAACAACGACCTATGTGAACCTTTGGCTAATCATGTAGACAACAGGGATTAATGACTTCTGTACCTGTTCTTTAAGTTGTTGTAACATAGCTGAGCCACGGAGACGAAACAATACTACTTGTCACTTTAGATTTCGTTACGGAAGTTATGTTGCACTGCTCTGCTGTTCAACTTGAAGCACTTGAGTGCGGAAAGCACACTGATACTTTGGATGAAATGTGCTAGAGACTGAGTACTGCAGTGGGAGTGTCTCAGTACTGAACTAATCTTCGTGCAAGCTGAAGTCCATTGCACACATGAATAAAGGTGATTTCTCCTACTGTCGAATCATGCGGTTCACCGAGTACTCCCGGTGCATAGGATATTCTAAACCTGACTTAGATGTGTGGAGGCGATGAGTGGGGCGAGATGGCTCAAGTGGTTAGAGCGCGAATTTACTGACCGGAAGGTTCGTGGGTCGAACCCGACCTCTGCCACTCGACTTCCCCTGTCTAGGCTTGGGCAACCTGACAGTATCCCAGCCCTCGTGCTTCCTTCGGGTGGCATGGCAGCTAGGCACCGAAAGGGCGCTACGGCTGAACGATTATTATTATTTATTATTAGATGTGTGGAGTACACCATGGTGCTTTTGCTCACTATATTAGTACGAACGTCTATAGTTATTTTACTCGCTTAACTTCTGAAGGCAACCAGGCAAGTGTGAGAGCGTATAAAGCCGCAACGAAAAGTGACCAGAGCCCACTGAATTCGGTTTATACAGAATACTAGCTGGTAAGCTTTACCGACGGATGCAGTGATTAGGAATTTAAAAAAAATTGGACTCTGGTTGTGTAGCAGCGCAAGGGACGAATCATTTGAATCTCTCTGGTGACCCAATAACAGGAAGAGGCTAGGAATTGACAAATCTGGTTTGGCACGTGACCTCCGGAAGTTCTGAATCAGCTGTGCTACTGTCCAAGAAGCATATAGCGCCGGAGGTACCATCAGTGTAGCGGTCGCTGCGTATGCAAGAAAAAACGTAGGTTAAGTGTGTGACAGGTGAATGGAAGCAAACTATGTTTGGCAAACGGTTTCCTGAGCAAACTCAATCGCGCACAGTTTGGAGTCATACTAAACTGATCTCAAGACCGCATTTTCTTTCCATTTGAAATATCTTTGTTTCCCGCTTCCTAAATCAACAGCTTGCTGATACTTTTAAGCTGAGCACCGACAAACATGCGAAATATCGTTTGAAATCCACCACCCAGTCATGTATTTAGTATTCAGTAGATGCCTGACATTCCACGGAAACGTCAGATCCAGCGCTTTCTGGGTACTATGATTTACTTTGTTCAGGAAAAGTCAACGTTAAACGAATGTTTACTGGTAGAAACCGCTTTATGAGTCAAACCAAAAGAGATTGTACTTTAGAAAGCCGACAGTATAAGCTTTCAATAGTGACATGGTAGGGGGTTTTTATCAAGTTTAAAAGTTCACGATCCAACATGAAACTATATGACAGGTTAAAAACTTTTCGGGCAAAAACGTTGCCTTTTGGTATAGTCTTCTCCGTTTTCTCGCGTACGCCTTTATTTGCGATTGCAAATGTACTGTTTGACTACATATATTTACCCTGGGTCGTCTGTCTGCACCCCTCGGAGTGCAAAATTTCAAGCTTATTCTTGATTTATACTTCGATTATCCACTCCGAACTCACTACTTTGCAAAAGGACAACGATGTTATTCCAAATTTACTCATCTTTGTTTACTCAAACTGCTCGATTCTTGATTAGGGAACTGATTTCGTCGACTCACTTTTTATTCACCTGTGCGAGAAGAGTGCCACGATTACACCGACACGGACAAGTTTTGGCTGGTGTTATCGACCAGTTCTGCCGGAAACCAGCTTAGCACGTCAGTAGATTTCGTTCTCTAATGTGATCAGACCGGACTCGTGTGTTTTACGGCATCGGCTAAAACGTTGCACCATTTGACAAGGCCCTCATCCACCTGAACGCAAACTATATGCAAGTTAGATTTTGGATGCGCATACTGACTTACAACTGACGGAAGTATTCAGCATTACGTATCCATCGCCGTATATTTAGTAGTCGACATTTCATAAGTGCATTTGAACGGCTTGAATTACTAAGAAATTTCAACGTAAATTTTAAGGCGTTTCCTCTATCAACTAGGACTGCAGGCACTTTATTTAGCCTAGTAAGACCCAACTCGAAATGCTGGATATCCAGGATCTTTTTTATTGTCTCTGGGTGATCCTAATCACAACGAGTTAGTAACTCACCAGTATCTACTTCCAAAGGTTCAAAGTAAACGATATTATCTGACTGGGTTTCAAAAATCTGGCAGCCATAGGCCTTGGACTCCCTTGTCAAAGACTTTGATCCCTTTGAAACTAGAATGGTTTTTACGAATTATTCCAAGCCACCTTTCTACGGTTTGATTCTCCGTGATAAACACGCTTCGTTGTTGCGGTGAATATGAATTATCTCTATCTTATAAACAGTAATGTCGATCATGCGAATGCCACCCTTATCCCGCTTCTCGCACTCTTGCATTTCAGACAAACTTTCCTTCTCTCCGCAAGCACGAATCAAACCCGCCACAATAATGGCGAATCTGAACGGAGATTCATTCAGTGTGGCCTATGTGATACTCATCGCTCTCTGTTGTCTGCTTATCGGAGTTTTCATCGCTTCCTTTGTGTTTTGTCTTTTTCCACGGTTTAGTCACATTTGCAGACCAGACGGGTATAATCGCTGTACCATAGAACAGACCTGTAAACACCCTTTGCATGTTTCCCGGCTAACTTCGGAATGGAGCAATAAAGCACCCAACCCAGCAAACAAGTGTTGGAACGAAGTTGAGACTGATAAAGTCAACTGGATTGAAAAACCTCTGAACAACTGCGGTCAATCCTTGGATCCAGAAGCAAGATACCAAGCACTCTTGGGAAACCCGCCAGGTGGAAACAAACTGGAACGTTCTGACAGTAAACGAACGGGTTTTAGTAGGAGGTTTACGGCTTCTCAGCAACCACTCCTCTCGGGCTCACCAGTTCCTTCTCCAATCTCCATTCCAAGCGGTCTGTCCACGGCGTCGATGTGTGTTCGGGATAAATTCACTTTTGAACACTTGACAGATCCACCCGAAGATCCGAAAGCATCACTTACGCAACCTCCGTCACTGGTTTTGGATCTCAAGCACACAAATTCACCGACCACTTGTATGAGCAAATATTGCACTACTTCGGGCCATTGTGAATCCGCTGAAAATTCATCAGTAGAACGCTCGCTCAACACACCTCACTGTGCACGAAACAGCCTTGTGTGTGGTGAACAGAGACATGAAAACAACTAACACCCTAACACCTCAGCAGGTCACTGTGTCAACACTTTTGTTGGCAGTGTGCCCAATCTGCCAAAAATTAAATCCATTTGTTTGAATACTGGCTACCCGAGCCCTGTTGCCATATTTTTCGCGTATGTGTACGAGTTTCTGCCATTTTGAAACTCAAACGCGCCTTGCGAATATTCTGTATAGCTCTCCATTTTATTATAAAAAAATCATCTATCGTTATGAAAACCGCATGAATACATGGTACCAAACCGTGGTCTATACCAAATCTAACGTTACGAAACACACGCATGCAAAACTGGATATTCTGGAAAATATATGTCATAATAAAATTAAACAACCTGTTGAATTCTGACCCCCATTTATCACTTTCTTTGTTACGGGGAATTTTTATGGTGTTCACCCTAAGTAGGATGGATAAAAACGATCATCTACTGGTTTCAACACACCTGGGTATCAACAGTGCTTAGAATCCGACTGAATTCTAAGAGAACAGATGGCAAACTTCCGTTTTTCTGCCGTTTCTTTTGCACTAGTACATAAGACTGTTAGCAAAACTGACACCTGAAAATTCGGTAATTAACTATGAATAACAGCGATGGATTGCCAACCAGAAAAATGACACCATCAACGGCTCAAAAGGGCAAGTTGATTCACTGCCTGCAAATGCAACTTCACGGTGCCCCCCCCCCCTAACAAGAGTTTCACAACGATAAGCAATCCCTTTTGTTAAGTTTTATGCCAATGAATTCAGTACAAACGAAAATTTCATTTTGAAGGACTCAGATGGGGATGAAACGTAAATGGATGAGAGTTTGCATTGAGGCAACCGTTTGATTCAGACTGAACCCGGACATTGTAACTCATTTGCGCGCTACTAATACGATCAGTAAACGCATCGTGAAATTTTCAACTGACGAGAGGGATAAGCAAGATTTTACACAAGACACGGTGACTACCACTTATATTGCTGGAAAACCGAGCAATTAAATAACGGGACCCAGCTATGCTGAACACAAGGTAACTTCATACTGAAGTTTGCGTAACTAGCCAAAAAAAATTTTCGACATGGACCGGAGAAGGATTTGGTCAGGCCGACGGATGGAAAGCCTAAGGACTATAAAACAAAGACGTTCACAGATGGCATAAAGCAACGGCGAATGGCATGACTGGTGGGGAGCCACCGGTCAGGATTTCGTTCGTAACACGGAAAGGATGTGAGTTTGTAACATAAAATGCAGACAGTACATATGGGCATGAAGACATGGACTCAGAACAGCAGGAAAGAGTACTTTCAGCAAGAACGCTCGGCTCAATATTAGAATTTTGTCCATACATAAAATCAGAGCCTCTTGCTTAAGAAATAGCAAAGGAAACAGAGGTAAATGGTGTGTCATCTGATGTGCAGCCGCACGATATGGACTCAGCATGTAAGGTACTAGCATGAGGCTTGTTAAGTACATTTAGAATCTTTAAATGAATGGAATGATGAGGATAAATTGCGGATTGGCTGAATATACCCGTGGTAGTTATGAGAACAAAGAAGGTAGCGAACAAAGCATGTTTTCTGTGATTGGTCTTCTTGGTTAATACATCACAAATTTATATGGCAGCAGAAATCACGTGGAACAGGTTATGATCGGGGCTATATACACTTTAGAGAAATGGAAATCAAAGGAAAGGGGGTTGGACGAGGGATAGGTCAATGGGTCTCGGAAACAGATGATTGACCTCAATGTCAGACAGGCTTGTGGGACCGGATGTTTCGTAGGCCAGTTCAAGTTCAGAGGTCGCACAAGTTTCTTTTGGATACAAAGTTGCGGATCCAGCGGATTAGTGGATCCAACAAGGTCTTATCAAAACTTGAAACACTACACCAGGGTACGGCGAGATGGGTTCCTAAGAAAATGTCCAAATATCAGCGAACGAATCTTCAGTGCTGTTGGATGTTCTATCCACGCTGAGGCTTTCTTGTAGAGTTCCATCATTAGACGTGTGCACTAGGTGGTTCGAGTTCCGAGACAATGTGAAAGGTGGGGTTACAGAAGATCGCACCTCAGTGCCAACACTCTTCTAAAGCTTTCCTACAGGCGACTGTGAACCAGTATGACAGTGCCGTAGAATCCAAGAAGTAAGATGTGAATATCCAAGGAGTTATCGTTAAATGACACGCAAAGCCACAAGACCAAAATCATCCCGCATTTTGAGTTATTGTGATAAAATACAACTTGATACACCTCAAAATGTCCATTCTCGCTGTCAGGCGAACTAACAATTACCTAAAATGTGCACTTAAGAGCAGTCAAAATTCGGAGTTATCGCTACGGGGAGAAAACCTCGCCACCGCGGACTTGAGATACCACGATTGGTTCAAGGTCAGGCATCAATTTTGGCAGGCAGTTAATTTTAGATGGCCGCAAGCATGCTCAACCAGGGATATGCTGAAAACATGGTTGTAGAGGTGTATTTAGAAATGCACAGCCATGGCTCAGAGAACGAGCTCTTCTCTTTGAAGGAAGGTTCATGTTTATGGTTCCACACCATTCGTCTTTGTTCATTCTCTCTCTTTCATGTCTGTGACTGTACGTCTTCTGGGTTATTTAAACTACTTGGTTATCCATTTAAGGTAGCTTCCATGGGTGCCTAACGCATTCCTAATAGGCGAAAACAACACACCTGAACTAAAGACCACAACTAGGACCAGTGAAACAGAGTGTAAGTATTCGTGAACAGGTGACAAGCGTGTGGGGGGCAGCTTATAATGGTGGTTGCTTTTTAACGATTTAGGAACCATTTCAGGAGGTTTTATTCGACATGCCAGTAAATTGCAAGATAGAAGAAGTACATCTTGTGCTTTGAGAGGGGACTACACTAAATGGAAGTTATTCGGATAAAAGTCAGGTCAATAACACAGTTTACTAAGACAAAACAGTCACACACAAAACAATGTTGTGTGAAGCAATTCATGGAGAAGCAATGGGAAACTGCAACTCACAGGTTTCGGGAGCCGAAAAGAAGAAACCGAGTTTGAGAAATTCCGCGACACAACGTCCGTGCTGCTAAGATGGGCGGAACCCTTTTGTGCCTTCATGTTGGAAAAGACTAGTAAAACAATGAGAATTTTTCATCCGTCTCTATTTCCCTTTGAATTATTGTGAATTAACTTATACTTACCTCTGGAGTCATTGTGATTTCCACTCGGTCTTATTAAGTAAAAAGTTCGGGGCTAGAGTGGCATCAGAGGCTGTACCGGGTGAATAGCACAGCTCAAAAGATGACGTTGAATCAAGGAGTACTAGGTACTGGGCAAGTATCAAATAAGACTTCAGAGGGATCGCAAATCGAAAAGTTGTTGAAGGGTTCAACTAGGATGAGAGGGTTCGCACATTCATTAAGATAGTTTCAGATGCATGAATTATTAAATAGGCAAGATTTCGCGTGAATAGATCACAAGGCGATTAGTGATTAGAAATTTCCTGTCCAGATGAGAGCACAGTGAGTGGTGCCCTACCATACAAGGACATTACAGAGCAACAAAATGTAAAACAGATTGATGTTAGGCTCAAACCATCTAAATCATAATTAGACAATATTCATTAGAGTGAGTGTGAACTGGGTTATGGAAGTGGGCCTTCATGGAATTATTGTTGGGCTTTTTCTTTAACTAACTTGCAACTATGAGCGCAAGGACAAGGCGCCTTTTGGCGGAGCAGAGGTTCCTGATCCTTAAAAGGCATCGTGCTAACGTTTCTCAGCTAGTCACCGTGTACAGGCCTAGTGTCCGTTCTGGAGTGACCTTTATTTGGACTTCGCAGAAGAAGTTTAACTGATGCGAATGTTGGATCTCGGACCTTTCACGCAAGCATGCTCACCGCTGCCACAACTGGAAGGCGGCATCAGGAGATAATCTGGAGTGTAACAAAGTGATAACACAGACCAGAGGAGCCATATAAACGGCTGAGGAAATCTGGTTTGAGGTAAGTCTGAGGAGACGCAGTTTCTTCAGCAGGTAAGGTCATGTGATTTTACATAATCCGTGTGACAAGGCGCTGAGGACCTTATTGATACAGTACGGAAAGTGTGGGAAGTTCAACAAGCGTCCTCTAACCAGAGCACTGGCAGTACATTGAGCAGAAGTTGAGTTGTTCTCTATCTTTCCAAGATGAATTCCCATAAAAAGATGGAAGGACTAGACACTTCCAAAAGAGCCGAGCTAATTAGTACAATGTACTTCACCCGATTGATGACGTGTTTACGTTAGATGGGTTTGGGACAATATAGCTAGCTGCAAGTGGAGTTCCATATGCAAAATGGAACAAAGAACCCTCTTCACTCAAGCACCACCACAATGTTTTCAAGTGTAAACCTTGTGTGAGTGTTGAAATTAACAGGTACTAATCAAGTGGTACTGTTAGTGGTGACGCAATCGGGTTGATTATCAGAAGGTAACAAGCACTAACACATGTCTGTCTTACTAGAATGCGATGGAAACAGTAGTTAGATGCACCTGATAAAAATAGATGCAATGTGAAAAGCTGAATAAGCCAAAAAGTAACTTATCGTTTGAGGACACCTGTTGAGAATTCCTGAGTGAAGTTCCGGACGCGGAACGTGACATCTCTGCCGTATAGTTGCCACACGTTTTCCGTAGTTCCCCGTGGAGACTTGCGGAGCTCTGTCGGCTTCCTCTCGTGTGCACGCAAGTGTGTGCGTTGAGCCTAGTTTTACGCCTATTTATTGTGTGCAGTGTAAAGAGAGGAGTGTTCATTCGTGTTTGATACTTGCACGAACATAAATAAAACATGACCTGAGGTGTTGAAGTCTGGCGCGTTACGCAAGTGGTAGCCGCGTAAACGAAAATGAATGAGAATTTTTAGTGTACAAGTTGCCGGCTAAGGTTGCAAGTGGGACAGGAAATGTCACGTGGTTTGAGTGTTTATGACGCGTGATCTGATGCGTTACCTCCACAGTACAATCTGAAACCGATGAATAAATATGGATGGATAACCTCCCCACACATATGGTCGGTCTTCAAAGAAAGCAAACAGCCTGAAATGGTGTCGTTCCCAGATGCACTTTCTGTTGCCAGGAGTGCTATCAGATGCATTTTGTGGTGAGTTTTAAGACAGACAGGGAAGACACAAGCCCAAATGAAAGAAAACACTAGGAGTTGTTTTGCTGCATTTGAAGAACCGATATTGGATATTGCCGACATGTAGAACGAACAACAGAATAATAAGGGGGCATATCTTATATCCAGGGTCTTTGGGGTATGTCGGATCTTGGAATTAGCAAATACACAATGTCAATCACATTTGAATTGACATTTCCTTCAGTC